GATTGCACGATTCAGTACCATCCGGGAAAGGCGAATGTTGTTGCTGATGCCCTAAGCCGTAAGGTGAAGGGTGACTTGACGTACGTTGTTACTCAGCAGATCCAGTTAATTCAGGAGTTTGCCCGGATGCATATTCAAGTGGTCGACGCACTTCCTACAGTTCTCACGGGAAGTGTCAGTTCCATGCAGGTTCAGCCGACGCTGAGGGAGAGAATCCGGCGAGAGCATGCTTTAGATGAGTTTATTCAGGCGATTTATGTAAAAGTTCGAGCCGGAGGCGTCGAGGGTTTTCACCGAGGCACAGATGGAGCCTTGGAGTTTCGTGGCAGGATTGCGGTGCCAAAAGTCGAGACGTTGCGGAAGAAAATCTTGACAGAGGCTCATACAGCACCATATCTAGCCCATCCAAGAAGTACAAAGATGTATCATGACCTGAAAAGGTCATTTTGGTGGAAAGGTTTAAAGAAAGACGTAGCCGATTTTGTCAGGAAGTGTTTAACCTTTCAGCAAGTCAAGGCCGAGCACCAGAGTCCTATAGGCCTTTTACGACCACTGCCGATTCCGCGGTGGAAGTGGGAGGAGGTTTCGATGGATTTTGTTATGGGTTTACCGAGGTCGTCTGAACATCACGACGCTATTTGGGTCGTGGTCGACAGATTGACTAAGGTGGCTCATTTCTTGCCAGTATCGAGGAGCATGTCTTTGGATAAGTTGGCTGAGACCTATACCCGTGGGATTATCCGACTCCACGGTGTGCCTGTTACTATTGTGTAAGACCGAGATCCCAGATTCACTAGCAGATTCTGGCAGAGTTTGCACAAGGCGATGGGTACGAAATTAGCATTCAGTTCAGCCTACCACCCAGAGACTGACGGTCAGATAGAGAGGACCATTCAGACGTTAGAGGATATGTTGCGAGCTTTGGTTGTTGACAGGGGTGCTAAGTGGGAGTCGTTGCTGCCGTACGCCGAGTTTGCGTACAACAACAATTATCATTCTGCTATTCAGATGGCTCCTTACGAGGCACTTTACGGCCGTAAGTGTCGTTCTCCTCTTTATTGGGACGACGTCGGCGAACGTCGAGTACTTGGTCTGAAATTGATCAAGGAGACAACGGAGCAGGTCGAGTTGATCCGACGGAGACTTAAGACATCTCAGAGTCGAATGAAATCAACCATCGATTATCATCGACGAGACATTCAGTTCGAGGTTGGCGAGCGAGCTTTTCTCAGAGTTAGTCCATTTCGCGGAGTTATTCCATTCGGGAAGAGAGGGAAGCTACACCCTTGATTCATTGGCCCGTTCGAGGTTCTCGAGCGAGTAGGAGAAGTAGCGTATCAATTAGCCTTACCTCCCGAGTTATCAGGCATTCATAATGTTTTCCACGCATCTATGTTGCGTAAGTACGTGTGCGACCCTGATCATGTCATTCCTCATTAAGATATTAAGGTTCAGCCAGACTTATCGTACGAGGAGCGACCGGCAGCTGTACTGGACCGTCAGGTTCGTCAGCTCTGGAAGCGAGATGTCCCCCTCGTGCGTATTCAGTGGGATCGCCACGGAGCTACTTGGGAGGCAGAGTCCGACATTCGAGCTCGTTTTCCATATTTTCAGATTTGATATACATATTTTCATGTTTCATGTACATAGTTCATGTTATTCAGCTATGTTTTGAATTTCCAAGGACGGAAATTTTTAAGGAGGGAGGATAGTCATATCCCTTCAGTTTATTAAAATAAATCATATTTTAGTTCCGATATAATATCGTTGTCGATTATTATTTTCGGAATTAATTATTTTCAGTCGAGATTACCCGAAATTATTTTCGACATTCCGTTTACGTTCGGAATAATTTAGGTAATTAAGTATTATGCTTAATTGAATAATTAAGCAATTAATTGTGATTAATTAGTAATTAATCATAATTAACAAGCTAAAAAGCCGTAGGCATTTGGGGGCAAATTCATGTGATGTAGCAATTATTTTGCAAGCATGAGGTGGCAGTCTCACAAATTTTATAAGATGACTAAGCTATTATATTGATGAGTAGGCATGTAAAAAGGACACCTAAGGCCTTAAGAGTAAGGCAAGTGGCTCATGTTGATTGGCTAATAAATATTTTACGTTCCTTGACCCCTTTTCTTCCCAAATTGCGTACGGTTTTTATATATGAAAGGAGAATTTTTATTTTTAATTTCATCTTCCATACTCAGCAAGTTAAGGTATACATTAGTCAAAAATTACTACATACTAAGTTAGATTAAGTTAAATTAAGCCATACCCCACACACGCACACGCAACCTTGTTTGGAGAAGGAACACGTGAGGATCTTGCACTTTTGCTCAAACGTTTGAAGAAGGTAATCATCTCCTAATATTCCTCTAATGTTAGTAAGGTCATGATAGGGTTATTATGCTTAGAAATGTTCAGCAATTCCTGGAAAAATTTTAAGTTATGCTCGGTTAGGCCGTGTAAAGTCACCCCCGAGTGCTTTTCGATTCAATTCGACAAATACCGAACAATTCAGGTTTATTTGATCATTTTAACTCAACTACCTCATGTTAGTTGAAGTAATTTTGTGTTTGGTCAAAAATTTGGCTTAAAGCCAAAGACCGCGCATGGTGTGCGTGTCCGCGGCCAACATCATGTCCTAAGTCATGTTAGGTCTGAATATTGGACGAGTAAAATATGATCATTTCCGTTAGTTAAATCATGATATGTTATAAAGTTTCATGTTAAGTTGGTCGGAGAAATGTGTCGGACGGCCGACGAGGGTCGGCCGTACTCACGCTGTCCGCAAGACGCGGCCGCAGCGTACCGGCAGTGTGCGGGATGCAAGGGACGCGTGGTATAGCTCCGCGTGCGAACAGTACCCGCAACAGGTAGCTGTTGGCGATGCGCATGCGCACGCCAACACCCAGTTATGCACGCCAGCGTGCAGTAACGCACGCCAGCATGCAGCGTCATGCATCAGTGGCCCCGGCAGCGCCCAATAAGCTAACCGAGTGAACAGCACCGTGGGTGTCGCACGACAGCACTCGCACGGTGTCAATTCTGCCCAGCCAGCGCTTGTGCGCGCCTTCTAGGGTACAGCCGCACATCGGAGTGTGCGCGGTAACACCCGACAGTGCCCAGTCAGGTGGCAGCCGATGCACATAACACTCGGCAGCACTCCAGATCAGGTCTCGTTCACGTCCGCCATGGCCAAGTGCACCCAGCACCTTCGGTCGTGGCCAGGGCAGGCCCGACAGTGGCCATGCCGCATCCAATTCCGTCAGCAGTTACGTCCGCAGCCGCAGCTAGGTCGCGGACCGAGTCAGCAGCCAACCGACCGGTCCGAGCAGACAGGTGGTTCGGCCAGACCAGTTCAGCCCGGTTCCGACCGGTTCGGACCGGTTTGGTCCATAAATTATCATTTAAATCCCGGTTCATGTTTTAAGTTCCGTTTTCAGTTAATTTTTGGGTCCAGTCCAGTTCAGTAAATTCATGTCAGTTCAGTTTCGATGTTAGCCGGTTCCGGTTATACCGGTTAAGTCCAGTAGAGCATCTTAACATATTTAAAATTTATTTTTATCAGTCTGAGCATAGTGTTTAGTAATTGATTATATTATTTTCAGTTTGATCAGGATTATTATCAGCACTGCCTTTTTAGTCAGATGGTTCAGGTGGGGACTCAGACTAAGTACTACATTGATTATAATATCGCTACCATGTTTGAGGTATGTATATTCAGTATCCGCTCGGAATGGTCGCCGGTCCATTCTGGGTTCTAGTGGCCCTAATCTGCCCACTAGAGTGTGCACATGGTGTCCGGCATTAGATTTCTGTCGGCAGATGTTCAGGTTCAGACACGTGAGATCAGTATCAGATTATTCAGACCGGTATCAGATATCAGTTTCAGTTCAGTTATATATGCCAGGATCATGATATTGTTATTATTTACACTGTTTTACTTTAGTATGGGTTTCCACGGAGCACAGTGTTATAGTGCTCACGCCCCACTTATTTCATGTTTTTCAGGTCACGGAGTCGGTGACGAGGAGTGAGCTGACGGGTCATTCAGGATATTTTGTTATGTTTGGTTATGTATAAACTGTGCTTTTGCCACGCTATACTTTCCGCTACTTTTCTTCAGTACTTAACCTCGGTTTTTGACCCGACGTTAGTCGGTTAATACGATATGTAACCGTTTTTATTATAAGTTTAAAATTAACGGTTTTTCAGTCAGATTTTCACGATAGCACCCCGAATCAGCTTTCACAAAAGAAATATTTTATTAAATTATTCAGAAAATTTGCGAAAAATGCATACTCTGATATATTAAAATAGCGGGGTGTTACATAGGCCGTGTGACTAACCTGAAGTCTTATAGGTATAAGGTACGGTTCAGATCGTATACAGATGTAGAAGCTTGTCCATGCAACATCCACTAGATTGCTGCCCACTCGTTAGAGCATTATTTAAATTCACAGGATAAAAGTAGCTGGCGTTCCAGCCTGTAATACAATAGTACGGACACCTATTTTTGATCCCACACTATTAAAGCATTATAAATGGCAGACATATCCCTCACAAGTTCTTTGATCAAAATGCCTTATTATTATTTTTTTTTTTTCGAATTTAATATCCTCTAATCTATCTATGGCAACGAACTCAAACTAGAAAATAGTAAACAGAAATAGTTTCTTTATCTTCATAACAAACAAAAAAGAA